AAATCATGTGAGAATGAACACATTTGGAGCTCTGTTGCTGAGAATAATGGTATGAATGAGAAAAGATTGCTGAAGAACTGAAAAGAGAAGTAAGACTATACGGGATATTCTTCTCCTCAATATGCCTCCCAAAGTTGACAGGGTTCTCTCTTCTGTTTCAGGCAGGATTTCCACCTGGAGTTGTGAACATTGTGCCAGGCTTTGGACCCACCGCTGGAGCAGCAATTTCTCACCACATGGATGTAGATAAAGTAGCCTTCACAGGCTCTACAGAGGTACTATAATGAATGCAAGGAAACAGAAGCAGGAAGTGTGTGCCTCTGATTCCCAATAATGATTTAATGTCTAACTTGTTCTAAGTAGCTATTTTAACTCTTTTTTCTTTTTTTCTGGCTGCCAGTTTGTTAAACAAAGTCTGTTTAATGATTTGCTGGTTATTATTAACTTTAAACATATTTAAACTATGTTTGTACTTCGGGAAAGCCCTTCAAACAAAAGACATTCCATGAGATACAACAAATTCTAGTATACCAAGGCTATTTTAAGTCTTGACCTTTAAAAAGAAAACATTTTCATAATTGTTTGCTTCTGTTTTTTTAAGAACAATTATTTCCAGAGATTTAAAAAGTGAAACAGGCTGTGTTTCATTCTATTTAATTTTATTAACAGGATGGTAGGAAGGTGATTCAGAAATCTCATTCCTGGTTCTGCACACACTTAGCTGAGGAGATGGCTTTTTGATATTTAAATGATACTGATGATCATATGGATGGTCTTAGCAGTGTAGTTGAACATATATCGGTTAAAGAATTCAAAGGAAGGTCACTGTTAATTTTTCCAAACCTTCACTTTGAACTCTGAGTGATATGATCAAAGGTTTCTCTGTGCAGGCATTATATAACTGTGTGCCTAACACAGTACATTATATTATCTGTCTGTACACATGCTACATGGAAGAGCTGCCAGTGTCTTAACTTGTTGGATGTACGCTCCAGAGATAAATACCATTGCCTTATATCAAGGATCAATACACACTTGAGTGCAAGAGCTATGTTTACTCGTAGAAACATTTAGCTCTAAAATAACTCAAAACCTGAGGTCTGAGAAATATCCTACAGATGTTCCCAATGGACAGTAACAGCTACAATTCCCTGTGTCCCATGCCCCTCCAAAGGCAGGTGGACCAGAGGTTGTATTCATACACTTTCGTGATGGTCTTCTTCTGACTGTAATTTAGAAGTGAGAAATGAAAACAGGAGGGAGGAAGCTATTTTTTATCACAGTTTTTCCAGGACAATTCGTAGTAGTTCCTTTAATTATTCCATCAACTGAAAGAAGCAGAGTAGGGGTTCTGCCTTGCAGTGTCCATTTCTTTTACTTCTTTCTTATAAGGAAGAAACTGGAATTAGGAAGAGCTGGCCATGCAGGCAGTGTAGATATCTTTTTGTCTCATACACTTCATGAATCAAAGGGTTTTCCCATTTATAAAACAGGGGAATTTCAAGCCAATAGGAGTGACTGGCAGAGCAGAAATCAGTGCTTACTTTAGATTATAGACCCAAGCAAGTAGCAAGACGGTAACCAAAAAACTGCAGACAACTTTGGCCGTTAACATGAGTGTGTCCAGGAGGAAGCTCTGAAACTCTTCCAAAAAGCAGTCCTCATTTGCAGACTGCAAGTCGTCTGCACCCTGACGCTTCAATATTCTTTAAAATTTATTTTTTATTTCTAGAGTTACTGGGATAGTAGACAACTCTGAACTTAGTACCAGTTTTGAGGAACTTAGAGAAGTGTTGTTGAAATCATAACATTTTGAGATGAAGCTGTCCTCTCTCTACCTTTTAGGTTGGCAAACTGATTAAAGAAGCAGCAGGGAAGAGCAATCTGAAGAGAGTTACTTTGGAACTTGGAGGAAAAAGTCCTAACATTATATTTGCAGATGCAGACCGTTAGTAGCATCTTATTATATATAAATCTGCTTCTTTTGCAAGTCCTATGATCTTTTCTTTGTCAGTAAATTATTTGTATCTGTTTAATGAGGGAGTAGTTTCTAATGTTTCACAGTCACTGTAGTTTTAAGTTAGATTGCCACCAAAAACTGGTGGCTTCCAAACGAATATGAACCTCTGACAACCTGTTCACCCTTACCATGGATCATGACTACAACCACAAGCAGCTAGATGGATCTTACACAGGTTTATTACCTTTCTAGCTTAACACTCCTTTTGGTCCTGCTGATGGACAAACCATGTTGAATCTGCATTTCACAGGGATCGTTTGTATGTGTTTTTATGTGAGTGTACTGTGCTACTATTTGTAAGAGCAGTTTTGAACATAAGTAAATGCACGAATACCTGTGTTTTAAAGGGCCATAAAAATAAAAATTGTTAAAAGGGGAAATGAGATGGGGTGACAAAGGTCTGTAAAGAATTTATGGTGTGACATTCAAGTTTACAATCTCATGACAACTCCATTTCTTTGCAGTGGACACTGCTGTGGAATTTGCACATATTGGTCTGTTCTACCACCAGGGACAGTGTTGTATAGCAGGATCTAGGATTTTTGTGGAAGAGCCTATTTATGATGAGTTTGTTCGTCGGAGCATTGAACGAGCTAAAAAGTACACTCTTGGGAACCCTCTGTTGCCTGGTGTACAGCAAGGTCCTCAAGTAAGCAATGTTACAGGTTTCAGATATATTTGTACCAGTTTAATATACTGCTAAACCTATTGTTGCATTAGTTTTAAGACTAAGTACAGTTGTCCAGTGGTTAGTTTGGAGGACCAGGACGAGCAAAGTGGAGTGATGGTTGATTGTGCCACTATTGTAGGCCTAAGGGTGTGGTTTCTTTCTCTTATCTGGTTCCTTTATTATGGAGTAGGAACAATTGCATGAGAACCAAAATGCTTTGAGTAAGCTTCAGTGTAGCAGCTGTAAAAGTGCAAGTATGATCACCCATATCAAAGATGGCTAATATATTAAAATATTGCCACTGTGAGAGAGTAGCTTGAGGAAATAAAGTGTAATAGTGCCTTGCCCCCTTTTTCACTGTGCCTGTGTTTCATTATGCTGTTCAGTTTTAGAATATTACACAATTAAAATTCATCATTTTGTACTTTATTATGTTTATGTTAACAGGTTATGCAAACAGCTTCCTTATTAATTGAATGCTAAAATGCAAAATTAAAAAGTGTAGCTAGCACAATGCTGTGGACTCAGTGGATAACATTAGAGCATTGATAAATTAGTTTTCATCTAGAGTCTTATTCCCATGTCAGTTTGTACTACAGGACATATACTTTCTTGGCAGAACTATTATGCATTGTTTTATTGTTCTAGAATAAAGGAACTCTATTGGAGACAAAGCAAAAACCAGAGACAAAGCAAAAGCCAGAGACAAAGCAGCTCCCACATATTTGATAATGTAATTTTCTTCATTGATTATCACAGTCTTTTTGTATAATCATAGACACTAAGTAAATTAGAAAACGTCATTCCAAGCCAAGCAAGCCCTGGAGAATTTAAAAATAATAGGGTTATTATTTTGGTACCCTGCAATATGTCTTGCTTACAGGCTATATTCAGCTGAATAAAATTAAAAGCCAGAGGACAGGAAGATTAAAACAAGTAAATTCCATATGTCTGGTGTACAACTAATACAAAACTATCAGGAATCCTCTGAGTTTGTAATTCATGCTAGCAATTTAAGTGAGAGACGAAAGTAAACTTCTACTTCAAAAAAAAGGAAGGTTAAATAAGTGGGAAAAAAAAGCGTTACTGAAGACATTTAAAAGAGCATGAACCCTTTTGTCCTCCAGTCTCATAATATGCCTTTCTTGACCTCTTTTCCTTCTTAGCAAGCTTTAGCAGATATCTTAAATTTTTCACAGGCTACCAAAATTTCACTTTTTTAGAAATTATATGATCCCATTTAATGGAAAATTGTAACTATGTGGTTTAGGTGCATTTCTTTTGTGGAGATTGTGTTAAATATCTCTCTGTCTTCAAATTCCCTGTTGTGCTTTGACTAATTCTTTCTGGAAATACAAAAAAATTATAGGCTGTATCTGGCATATTCACCATGCTCTTTTGTCATAGAGCCTCCCTGAAAGCCATATTTGTCCTCCAGCTCATATGCCCTCTGGGGCAGCACCAGCCTCAGGCAGCAAAGTTGGGTAGCTCTGCACAGAGGGCACCAAAGAAGAGCCAAAGGCCCTACTGGAATTCAAATGCTTGTATATATGCTAATTCACAAATTATCATGAAAAATAATTATTACAATAATAACAAAGGAACAATTGACAGTAACATGAGCTCTCTCATTTAAACCTCGTCTTCTCTTCAAGATGTTTCTGTGCAAGAGATATTTGACCACCAAGGTAGCAGGAATTTTATGTCTTCAGCATGCAGTAAGGCAATTGTTTGAAAGCAAAATGACAAAACAAACACAGAGAATTAAAAATCACCTCCTTATAAATTCATATCCTTATAAATACAAGCTTTTATCACAGCATTAGCTGAAGAGCTGTTTAGTCTAATACACATCCAAGATTCCCCAGAATCTTTGAAAACATTGTTGTGTTCTGTGACCATGGTAAAACTTATTGCTTAAGCTGAAATGTGACCTTTTTATTGCACAATTAAGAGAATAAGATACACATCTACTCTGCTGACTGATGAGTATGATCACAGAGAAGAAGCTTCTGTGCAAGAGTTCCTGCAGAAGTAGAATCATGGAATCATAGAATCATTTTGATTGGAAGAGAACTTTACTATCATCAAGTCCCACTGTTAACCTAGCACTACCAGGTCATCACTAAACTACATTCCTACATGCCGTGGTTTAGTAATCTCATATTTTCATTAACCAGAACTTGAAAAGAGGACTTGAACTCTGAAAGAGTATAGGAAAGAATCAGGAAAATGAGAAAAAAAAAAAAAAAAAAAAAAAAAAAAAGGATGTAAGAGGCCTGTACCAAATAAGCTTTGAATTGAATAAATATCTTGACATAAACTTTATCTTCTGCACAATTTCCCTTCAAGTCTGAAGTGATCGATTGATTCAAAGAGGGGAGGAGATGAAATTACATGCAATCTGCTTCTGGTCCCCATTTACATTGTTTCCTTTTATCCACTTCATCACTGAAAACTAGAAGAAGTTAGAGAAATATATGCCCCTATTGTACTGCCACCATAAAGTCCTCTTTTAGCCAAAGACCATGTATTTTGTTATATCGATGTGCCAAACTGCAGTATGCTTGGCATATGAGTTTTTTGGTAGACTTGGGCAAGTGGAGCAGCAGAGATTGGCTTCACACCATAAACATTCTGCCATTTATATTTCACAAAGCACAAACTTCAGTGTCTTTTTTCCAATAATAAATCAGAATGAACTGAGAACAACATTGAATTTCAGTTATATTTTATTGTTGCTTTTTAACAGTCTTTAATAGTTTAGGAAAACAGCATGACCAATCTGCCACGAAGTACAGAAGAGTCTTACTGGCTAGATGAAGCCCTCTCTTACTTTTGTAGAATCAAGGTCAGCAATTTTTATTTTGATGAACCTTTTGCAGTTTGGAAGAGTACTGGGAGAAATATAAAAAATTCATTTTATAGATTTTTTTTTTCCTTTTTTTTACTGAAGAAAGACAGAAAAACAGTCCCTTTCCAGCTGATTCTACCATGTCAAAATTGCTGATTATTGGTCTGTGTGGGAAAAGCCTCAGAAGTTTGGAGAAGTTAATGGCAAAACTATTTGCAAGGCTTTCCAGCTGTTTCACTTCAACACATGCAAGTGAACATAACTGGAACATTGTTGGGTTTTGGTTAATGAGTTAGAAGAACAACTGTTATCAGCATGTCCTTTTTTCATCCCTATAATATCTTCTCACTTAGATTGATAAGGAGCAGTTTCAAAAAATCCTGGAGCTAATTGAGAGTGGGAAAAAAGAAGGAGCCAAACTGGAATGTGGAGGAGGTCCATGGGGAGACAAAGGCTACTTCATCCAGCCAACAGTTTTTTCTAATGTTACGGATGATATGCGCATTGCCAAAGAAGAGGTAAACAAATTCTTGGCAGTCTGTACTCTCACTGGAGATTATCTGTTTAAATGTGTGTGCAAAATATTAATTTAGAAGGTCAAGTGGCTGCATCAGAGTGCTCTCCGTAAATCTGTTGTTCCATCCTGGTGGTGTTTAAAATAGTTTTCTTGGTTTCTGATGACTGTTTCACCAACTCAGCAGGGATGAGGGAGAGGGGTATGAGGCTGGCCTGACAGCAAAGGCCCCAGCTTAAACTGACAGTAGGTAAGAAACACTGAGATTCAGGTTATTTATATCACACCATATTGCCTATGTCTCACATATCAGAGTCATAGTAACCTGTAACACAGAAGCAAATCTTGAGGGCACAGCTTGTGAACTCTTTATACTTGCCTAAGGAGTCTCTTAAGTTGGGTTTTGGGCACAATATGCACCAAGCAGCTATTCTGCAACAAGAGAAAATAGTTGGATTGTTCTTCCACAGGCATTTTGTTGGTGCAAATTACAGCAAAGCGGAGTTTTTGACTCTGCAGGGTTACTTAACCTAGCCCAGTTCACAGACATGTCTACACAAAATTGAAGGAAATTTTACTGACCCAGCTAAGTTTATAGTGCCAGGATATCAGTGATCATCTGCAAAGAACAGGAGATATTTAGGAGTGCAGAGCTGCTAAGACATTGAGAAAAACAGTTCTGTAAACATAGCTTCATAGCCCAGTCATGGTCTTCTTTCTGTGATTTTTTGCATTCATCTTGATTAATAACTGCTGCAGTTGTGCTGTAATTAGTGTCCATTATAATTCCTCATACTGGAAAGCTCCTTCAAAATTACTGCAAATCCAGGTGTTCTGTTATGTAGGAAGCAATACTGCTGATGCAGTCTGCTGAACATACCTAGCATTAAAAGGCAACAAGCTAGTTAAAATGAAATCTAAAGCAGCTAGAGATAATTGTGATGTAGAGAGAGCTGTAAAAAAAAAAAAAAAAAAAACCAGACCTGTATGGGAAATAATTTGGATTGCTTCTGCCAGTCCAAGAGGCAGGCAGAAAACTGCACATAGGCATGTTTCTTCACAGATCTATCAGTTTCTTTTGTGTCAGCAGTATAAGAACTGCTTCTTTTACACTATTTTGTGTGTATTGAATAATGAAATCCTAGAGACCCAAGGCAATTTAAAGAATAACTAGGTTCTGACACTCACAGCTTGAACAGTGAGGGAACATTCAGTCATTTTCTGATCTATGTAAGTCAATACTTGCAACTCTAGATAAAAACTAGAACTAAATATTTCCCAGGAAAATCAAGTGGAAAGACCACAATCTATTGCAGCCAAAATAATTAGATGTGGTAATGCCCTCCCTGCCCTACCACAGCCTTGGCACTATGCGGTGGGCATGGGCACCTCTGTCTGAGAACGCAGAGCAATGGTAATGGGAAACCAAGCCTGAGGGATTATTACGGAAAGCAGAGTTACACTTCGTGTACATGCCCAGTTGTGCAGCTACCTGCAGAGATAAAAGTCTAATTGAAAGTTTAGGGAAGGAAACGCTGAATGACTCTTAGCTGTAAAACCGGCGGTTACTAAGAAAATACTAGTTCATTGGTAACCGGTATAAAAATGTAACACACTGTGACTCTGTGCTAATTATGTTTATGGTGGTAATTTATTTTTATCTCTATTTCTTTGCTTTTGTAATTTATTTATTTATTGTTTTATTAATTATCATAGACTATCTTGATTTGCTCTGCATTACAAAAATCTTGTCTTTATGTGAATTTATAATCCTTTTTACAACTCTGTTATGAGATGTACGCTCCTCACTGAATGAATTCAGGAGTGAGGTCATCTGACAGAAATAATTTTTTGAAATATAAATTCTTTACAATAGTAAGCTACACTAGTCCACTTGATATGTATACATATGTCTGAAACAGATATTTGGACCTGTTCAACAAATCATGAAGTTTAAAACTATAGATGAAGTTATCAAGAGAGCAAATAATACTGCTTACGGCTTAGCAGCAGCAGTTTTTACCAAAGACATTGATAAAGCACTGACATTTGCAGCTGCTCTTCAGGCTGGAACAGTATGGTAAGTAATGGTGGTTTTAATTCCTCCTTCAGAACTGCAGGTGCCAATGGCAGTAACTGTAGGTCATATTAAAATTTCTCTGGGGGATATACCTTTATATTTCAATTCCTTGTTATCTTTAGAGGGGTAGATTAGTGCCATCCTCCTATGTCTCTCTTCCTCTCCTATTTCCGTACGTAATGTGCTTTTAAATAAATACGACTTGTAAATCCTCACACAACTGCCTTGCAAACTTAATACGAAAAAGGAAATTGAGTTGTCAGAAAGGAAAAGAGACAAAAGGATGAGAGACAGTGAGAGTGCCAATTTCCTACCTGTTCAGGATCTGAAGATCATCCAATACATACTTAATTTGCAGGGATCATTTTCTGTACATAGAAATTATCTGATGTTCTGTGGCCATTAATATGGGCAAAACACCACCTGTGATGGAGAGGATTTATAGAATGTGATTGAAATAAAGAAGGAAATGCAAGGGGGAAAGAACTGCTACAAGTACAAGGATAAATATTTCAAACAATGGAAAAGAAGGAGGAAACCTGTGTGGAGCTGGAATGGCAAAGGTTGAGACATGGAAGGCTGAAAGCTTGGAGGAACAGCAGACTGAATCTAATGACTATCAAAGACAGGTAGTTGGATTTCCCTGCACTTGTCTGAATGCATCAGAAAGATAGCAACCAATTTTATATGAATGCAAAGCTTGTTTTGAATTTACATTTCACGCAACCTGCACAAATGCCTGCCTAGGTCCTGTGGCCTAAAAGTATATGCTTTCTAAAAATGAGTCAACAGTTTTAACTTAGGAGTTGGTATTCTTTAAAGGGAAGAAAGCTTAAAATGAAATGGAATCTCTGTTTTTTTCATTCTTAAGTGTTTGCTGGTCTGTCTATAAATCCTTAACTATGAGCAGAATCTCTTGTTGAAGCCAGCAGGCTGGCAGTAGGAGAAATTATGAGATATGAAAATAGAGAATAGCTGATTTGGCAATGTTGCAAGGCAAAAAGATCTACTCGGCTCGGGAGCAGGATGCACATTCCACCAAAGCTCTTCATACTACAAATTCCCCTGAGAAATAATGTTCTTATTTATTATTTTTGCATTTTTATTCTCAATCACGATACAGAACATGATTTAACATTGAGTACAAACAAAACTTCCTAAATATATACTGAAATGATCCTGAATTTATCTACTTGAATTATACCTGGGAAGACTTAACTGTCACTAGTCTTTGGTTTGCGAGCTTATGTACTAGTTAGAAAGGAGTTTTATTATAACTACCAGAGAAAGATATGACTGTCACTCTGCTTGAACACTCTGCAGGAGTGTTTGAACCCTGATCATAAGTCCAGTTTATGGTATTGCTTTGTTTCTCTGAACCTTGAACTGCATATAATTTTGCAAATATATTACTCAGATATAGTTTGTGAATATCAACATAGGTTTTTACAATTGACAGAAAACCATCGGTTTTTCAGAAGAAAAAAAAAAGTCGTTTCACAGTGTCAAAAGTAATTTTCCTGTTCTTCCAGGGTTAATTGTTATAGTGCAATGTCTGCCCAATGTCCTTTTGGAGGATTCAAGATGTCAGGAAATGGAAGAGAAATGTAAGTAAATACTGTTTTAAATGTAGATTTACAGGAACTGTAAAATGAAATTCCAAACCACAGCTTTAAACATTCATAACTAGGATGTGCAGTTTCAGATTTTGTCAAATTAGTCTATATAGTGTTTAAAGGTTTCATGTTCTCAAAGACTATGTCAAGCAAAGAGTTCCTCTATAAAACAGATAAGAGGAACTACCTAGATACACACTTTTTCAAAATGAACAATTTTAGTAGCTTACAGTCTACAGACAGGGAGAACTAGTCATTGTGTTTATGGTTTACGGGTTGTGCATACATATAGAAAGTGCCATTTGCCTGCATATATGTGTGTGTGTGTAGTTTGTGGAATCTCCTTTAAATGCCACGCTTTTGAAAACAGAAGACTTTTCAAAATCCTTGAGTTTTCAATTTAAGTTTCTTCTGACAATAATGTTTTTACAGAATATTCTACTTTAGTCAAAAGTTATGACAAAAATAGTCCTCTGTAGTCTTCAGACCTTTAGTCTTTTCACAGACTAGGAGTGGGGGACTAATAAGCTAATCAAATTCTTTCAAATTTCTAAGGTTTAATCAAATTTCAACCTGAATCATGGTCTGTCTTACTTGTATTCTTCCTGATATTTGTATTAGCAAAAGAATCATGTAACGTGTTACTTCATGAAACATTTGATATCACACAGGTTGGATACCTTATGTAGAATTTTGTCTTCTGAGGTTTGGCTTGTTTGTTTGTTTGGTTTTTTTTAATGTAAATCACAAACAGCTCTTTGTTAAAAATGTAATATAGCTGGGAACAACAAACTATTTTTAAAAACGTTAATAAAATTCAAAACACGTAAGATTCCTCTTTTATTAAGCCGAATCTTTAGTCCTTTTAATGAATAATGGAAATAAAAATACGTGCAGGTGAAATGCTTCAGAGCTTCTTTCACTCTTTTTTTGTATTTTTTTTAAGAGACAAAGGCTAGGGTCCTCATGTTTGCTCATGACTTGACTCAATCTGCTCCTGATGGCAAAGCTGCTGCTGAATTCAAAGGAAAAAGAGTTACAACAGTTCTGAGAGCTTTACAAAATGTCTAAATAAAATTAAAAAAAAACCAAATCCAATAATTAGACTATTGTTATCAAGGACTGTTTTGCATTTGCTGGGTGCCAAAAAACTGGGAGATCATAAATTCTGAATTACAGCCTTTTGCAAAAATATTTTATGAATTTGTTTGCTGGAAATAACAGGAAAACAATAATAGACTATCATAAAGATTAATATTCTCTGTAATAATGCATTTTGAAGGATTTAAGCTTTTGCGCAAGTGAAGTTTTTCCAAATGCTTTGTTCAAACTCAGAATTAGTGCTAAAATAAAAATATTCCTATCAGAGAGCAATAGAGGAATTAGCACCACAGAGATGTCTGTCACAAAAAAAAAAAAAAAAAAAAAGATTTCTACATATGGCAATCAGTTTCAGGAGAGGAGTAAATATGTGTGAAACAACTTCACAGAAATAATCAGGAAATCATTGTATCAAGGCATTCACTTCCTTGAATCTTGGAATAAAATTACCTTTGTAATTCTTGGACTGATAATATCATTATGAACTAAACTACTCAATGTCCTGTACTAACAGAATGCCTGTTCAAAAATATCAGTATCAGTAAACATTTTCCCACAGCATGAGAGTCCTGAGCACAGATTTCTGTTCTGCGTACATATGTATCTAGCAAGATAGTGATGAGAACTGGATAAATTATATGGTTCAAACACTTTGTCTGTAAAACAGTAAGTTACGTCTAAATAGTTTGACTACATCAGATGTCAAACGTCTATGTACACAAGCAAGGTTCATCACATCATGTAAAACATCAAGGTGGAATCATGCTAATAACATTAGTAAGATTTAAGTGTTTTTCACCATCTGGAATATTTGATGGTGGATTAGTTACATACCCCATTTACTTGAAGGATCTATTTTTTGACTCAGGACAAAACTCACATCAGAGGAAGGTCTCTGCTAATAACTTGTTGAGCATGTTTGTGGAGAACTAATGTGCCCGATTTGCTGCACAGAAACCCATTTTAGAAATGCAGTAAAATGATTACACACCATTCTTTTGCCCATAAATGAAGTTAGTCTCTCTCCCGATTTTCTCAGGAGATGGTTGCAGTGATGTTTCAAAAGGCTTCCAGCAGCAGTCTAGCTGCACAGATGTCTCCTGACTTTGTCCAGTATACTTGTTATACAGCTGGCCATTTGCACAGCACCACCAAAAATCCCATCCAGGACACAACTCATGTAAAAAACATTGGCATAAACGTTGTTCTTGGTTCTCTTCTATCTAGGGGAGAATATGGCCTTCATGAATACACAGAAGTTAAGACTGTCACAATCAAAATCCCACAGAAGAATTCATAATGCTGTTTGAGGTGCAGAATTTAACATCTTCAAATGGATCTGTGAAGGCTATCTGAATTCTGAAAAGTGTTTTTGTCCCAAATTATTCATTCATCTTTTCTGCTTTCTGATTGTATAAGAGGTACTTGCTTACATCGGTAGTATAACGTAGAAAATTTTATTGTGATTAACTGAGAAAAGGAAAGTTTGTTTGGTACATAGATAACTAATTTTGAAATTCGTGTTCAGAAAGGACTATTTTTTATTTTCAGTGGAATGTCTCTGTAGTTCTGTGAAAATGTTTTTTTTTTTTCAATACATTCTACAGGTACAGTTTGAATTTATATGCTTTTCTAAATGTTAGAGGCAAGCTCTCTTTGTATTTTCTTTTTGTGTCCTTAACAAAAGCACTTATGAGTAATTAGCAGATAGATAACGTTCTGTGTCTTTCAAAAATAATAGACTTCTACTAGATATGTATTTCTTAGACTACTGAATTTGTTCATCATACCACACAACTGTAATCCAGATGATATTAAGCAGTATTAAAATCCACATTAAAAACTTAATATTGTTCCTTTCATTAGTCTTTCCTATTATGCTGATTTACCACTGTCCACTTTGTGGCACATATTTTATATCTTTTAAGAGGCATTACTGTCCTAATGGTCTGTTTAGCTCATCAGAAGTATACTATCTTGGCTATAAGAAGACTAAAGTCCCTTATTCTTTTACAGTATTATAAATGGAAAAATGTGAACATACAGAACACTGGGCAATTTGCAAAGAGACATCACTTGGCTTTGTAGTCTCTCTTGTAGTGACAAGTATATAAAAAAAAGTCTTAACAAATAACTAACAAATAACAAGCAAGTCATAGCAAAGGAAAAGACGAGAGGGGGAGGTGAGGGAAAGCAATCTCCTCTGTGATTTATAGCTGCTCCATTTTCCCTGTACTCATATGCATGCATATAACTTGCATGTTTTCCTCCCTCCTCTTTCCTCCTCTAGTCTATTTCCCTTTATCCTTTTTCCTTATCCTTCCTTTTTCATAAAGCTGCTTATTTCTTTAAAGGCCCTCTGCAAACATATGTGTCCCAAGATGATCATAACCTCTAAAGTCACTCCGTCTGTACAGCTTTGGTTTTTCACAATTGTCTTCCAAAGCATCTATCGGCACCCTGCAATAGCTGCACACCATCAGCAGCAACCAGATAAACTCTGAGACAGTGCTCCACAGGGAGCAAGTACAGCAATTATACAGCCTGCTACTGTTAGAGCCATATTGTCTCTAGACTAAACACAGAGCCACGGTTCATCTCTCATTAGAGAGGGTCAGCCATACATAAAATATTACATACAAGGTGTGCCTATTATTAAGAACATAGCACACCACAAATTTTTAAGCAGTAAGTTGGAGAATTTGCACTGTAAAAGGTTTTGTTCAGTTGGATATGCTTGTCAATTCTTTATTTTTACTTTTTTTAATAAGTTGGTTAAAACAAAACCCAGACCAGGGTTTCACACTCTCACTCTTCTCTGATACTTTTTTACATGAAGTTAAGAACAGTACATAAGACTAGTGGCACAAGTATATCTCTCCAAGGGCCTCTGCAATATCTGTTCTTGAAAGGTGTCAGTTCCAAATCCCACACATATACCTCTGAAATAATTTCACTAGCCATAGTTCTTAGACTAAACCACTCCCTGCCTCTTATCAGAG